ATACAATCGCGTCGCACAGCGGAAACATGAAGCTAAGGTCGTGAGTTTCATCTAAACGGTGCCGCGCACGATACCAGAATCAAACAGCTGATTCAAGATCGCTGGCGAGTATCTCTCGATCGAATGAGACCGCGTACACACATGAAAAGCAAATACATAAGAGCAATAGGGTTTGTAAAGTTAGTACCCTAACTTTAGAATCCGTTAGTTTTGATTAGAGTTCCAACTTCCACTCGAATAGTATACACGTAAAAAAATGACTTACAAGGAACATTCACGAAGTGTGTGTCTCCGATTTCGATGAAACTTGGCATATTTATGGAGTGGTCAAAACTAAGAGATCTATATTTTTTATCGGCAATGGTGCAGATTTAAGGGGTGAAACTACCCCTCAAAGTTTCATGCTCTTTTTACTATCTCTGCAACTATTGGAGATAGAAAAAACTTTTTAGTTTTTAGAGCTAAATTAGCTTTCTACGTGTCTACTAGCTTCTAGAGCTAAAAAATAGCTGTGGTAGATAAGATGTGTCACTGAAATACGGACAGCTAATGTCGTTACTGCCGAAGCTAAATTTATTCGCTGTTTAAACTTAAGTGCTACAGCGAGAAATAGCTACTAAAAACAAATGACTGTAGCAAATAATTGTAGCTGTGCGGTAAACTTCCTTAATATATACATACAATAAGAAATTTAAGAATAACTGCCATTTTCTTAGCTACTTGAAATAATGTGCATTTTTAACGTCATCTAATATATTTGTATTTCATAGCGAATGCATTTTAGCTGTTATAGCCAATTCTTAGTGACAGCTAAACGATTAGCCTTTTGACTAAGTTTGAATCAGCTACCGCGGTTTAGCTGATATTACTAAGTCATTTTTTTGCGTGTATGTTTCTTTTTTCTGTGTATTACAGTCCTAACACTACTGAAAGAGTAATTAAAAATGAGGCGCCAATCTCTCACAGCCAATGTTGGTGCAAGATTGGGTTTGAGTTAGCATCCCATTTTTTTTAATCTTAGTGATGTTAATCGCGTGGAAATTCTTTTAATAAAGATAAAAACGTTCCTACACATCTTCCTTCGAAAGGAAGTTGGAACCCTAATTAGAATTATCGAATCTTAAAATCGAAGATGCTAACTTTGCACAGCCGCGAGCAACAAGGACGTGAGAGCGTTCACAAAGCGTCTGGTGACCCTTTAATAGAAATTTATGCCAACATTTGTCCGGCTTAATTGCCGTCAAGTCTGATCAATTGGCGCCGAATTGTGTCGCGGTTCGTTCTTCGTCTCGCGGGTTAAAGCATCTCTCGTCGCTCGCTTCCACGTCGCGTCCGCGACGTAGATCGAGCGCTTTCGCGCGGGGAGATTTATGCGACGAGGCCGAGATTAATAAAGACACGGCGTTCGTTGATATAAAATATACTCGAGAACTCGCGTCACATACGTGCCATGCGCGGAATCACAAAATTACTTGCGATATTATACGCACATACAGAGAAAAATATCATTCTACCGTTAAGAAAACGGATTATCCAGAATTTTCGAGTTGCCTTACAACCTCTCAGACAACTAATTGATGTGACTGATTGTAAGTGTGACGGTAGAGGCAGTCTTCTTCTATATGCTGATGTTCTCCACGATCCCGTTGACCGTATATTTTGTTTTGTAATAACCGAAATACGAACATACTGGCCATCTTGCCATAATACTGGGACAAATTGCCTAGCAATTCGGAATAAATTGTTCACATGCTCAAATATGTATTCTTATTAGTAGTATCTTATTAGTAGTGAGATGTCTTCATAGTTGTGTCAGCTTTTAAATAGTGACCAATTTTATCTCGTCTGCCCATATACTCGATTTTAATTATTTTATGAATGAGAATTACTTTTATTATCCGAAACAGTACATCGTATACTTGCAAGGAATTTCATCTTAGTAACACGTCGCTTAACTTTATTCACTTATGATGAAGGATATTAATAAAAAGTTTCGAGAAACTCGTTTTTTATACTTTTTAACTATAATATTATTGCGATTAAAACTCAGGGAAAAATATTTATGTTCTGAAAGGGTCATTTAGATGTTGAAAGTTTAAATATCTGTATTTTAAGACAAAAAACAATAAGAGTGTCCAGAATTATATGTTTAGACATTGATGCTTTTATTCTAAAGCCTCAGCAACTGAGTCTCAGCAAGCAAGGGCGATATGTGACGCTACCAAGTATTCCATGATCACTGCATTCATTATTTCGATACTTTCTCATGATATCGCGCATTAATATTGTCAACAGTACTATATCTGGGCCGAGGTGAGCAGTTGGTGCCCGTTACGCTCTCCGAGGTATCTGCTTTCAAGGTACTCAAAGGCCGCGCGGCGGTTTCCACCTTGCATGTACACACCTTCGTGTATTTTTACCTCTAAATACAAAACAAAAAACTAACAGTTTCCGTTATTATCGCGTCACGCGTGAATCGTTCAGGAAAGAAGAAGAAGAAAAAGAAAAGAAAACAAAGCGCTCTATGTATCCGATAGAGCGACGGACGCTTCTGGAATACAGATGTCCGCGGGGTGCTTGACCGATCCGCCTCTGTGCAGAAGACGACGCCACAAGTGTCGTCGATAGTCGGAAGATTTATCACTCGACGTATTAGGCACGCTCCTGTCGGTTTATTCGAGGATATTTTCCATAAATGTTTCTTGGCGCCGGAGACGAGCTGCCGCCACCGTTGCAGTCACACCGCGGCGGCAGCAGCAATGCCCGCAATCGATCGCCGTGGGCGACGTTTGGGTATAAATATTAACATCGGCGGAAAGACGCGCGAAGAAATCTAATGAACGCCGCGGAAACCCGTGCTGGGAACAACAGCGCCGAGGTTGATTGTCATTCGCGGTGCATTCACGACCGGTGACTGCCCTTGGATTGTACGGAAAGGCGTCGCTTTGACGACGAAACGTTTTAAAGGCTCTTTTTCTCTCTCCCTCTCTCTCTCTCTCTTTCTCAGCGCAGAAATAATTGTCCGGGTCACTTCAGTGTCATTAAACTTGTTAAATCGGGGGTCAGCACTCGTGAACAGGAGACACATACACATACGCACACGTGCGTACGCACAGACGTCGATGTGTGCGCGTCTCGTCGTACGTTCCACTTTCCTTAAGAGATTACCGCCGCACCGCTTTCACGAAGAGAGAAAGAGAAAAAAGGTTTCTTCGATATTCGCCATCACAAAGAGGCAATTCGGGCGATTTTAAACGCGGAAACTGAATAAAGGATAATCGCACTGTTATTTTCTCGTGTGCACGCCGAAATTGCAGCGAAGAGATGCGTATGATATTTGGGGAAATTAAGGAAAATTAAGGAAAAAAATGTTTTGTAGTTGCGGCTATAATTATACAGAGAAATAATTACCATATATTATGATCAAAAGAGCCATTTTTTATGAAATTCTACTGTAATAACCTTATATGTATGTTACAAAAAATTCCATTTTAACAAGAAAGTCAGAAAACCAATAACTCTCGTAAGACTAAGAGTTTTATTACAATTTCTTTGTGTTCGATTTATGCATTAAATGGAATCGCATATGAAAAAATTTGTGGTAAAATTTGTAGTTTTACGGAAATTATCAGTTTCTTAGCTCTCCTTTAAAATTGGAATTTTGTGAGTCATTAAAATCGATTAAAATTTAATTTGACTGAAATAATCGGCAAATCAATAATTAAATTAAATAAATCTAAGAATTAGTGTCCAGCATTAAATACGCGCCTGAGAATTGGGTTTTGAATGCGGTTTATCGATTGGACATGTCTAAGATGCGCTAGCAATTAATTTTTCCCACAAACAATCCTTGTTCGGAGAAAATTCTACCCGACACCCATTTTTCTCGTATTCTTTGCTATCTCAACATCAGGTTTCCCAGTTCTCGCGTAATTTAATCGGTTTTATGTTTCGGCTTTAGTGAGAAATCGCACGCCCGCTCGCTCGTGCATGGTGACTTTGTCGCGGAAACGACATTAACGGTCCAGCTGCTCCTGTCATTAACGCCCGACATTTCGCGGCAGAATTATGACGAGTAATGCTATACTCGAGCCTGGCCGTCCTCTCTGCTCCCTTGAGAAACTCGTTGATTGTAAAATATCGTCGCGAAAATTCGACATGTATCCTGCACGAGTAAATCAACGAGCTTTTGAACTAGAATTGTTCAGGAGAAACTCGGCGTTGTGAATAATTATTATTACCCAATTAAACGGTCAAACATAACGTTCCCTTCGAAAAGAATAATGTAGAAATATTTGGATAGCTATATATGTATTGCTTTTGAAGAAAAGTTGGACAAATTTGACAACAGAATAACTTTATTGATAAACAAGCGGTGTTTTAAGCCTTAAGCCTTTATTTGGCAAAAAAATGTAAGAAAAATTCTTTTGTGTGTTTGAATGAAGTAAATGACTATATGTAATCATATATGTGTGATCATGGATAATTTAATCCATTAGTGAAATTAAATATTAGTTAGTGTATCAATCAAATCAAGTTTAGATCATAAGAAGCTAATAAAAGCCCACGCAAGATGTCGACGACCGAAATGTTTGGTTGATTTTTTGGGGCATTCAGTGGCCTCTTTCTTGGTTTATTTGTGGATATGCTGTGTTTCGCAATCGACATCTTGTAGGCGGCGTGAGCTTTTATTAGCTAGTTTGATAAAGCGTGGGCTTTTATTGACGAGTTTGATTGTGCATATCCAAGGGCCTAACAATTTACTCACAACCAAACTACTGTATGATTAATAATTAATTTCATCGATCAAGTTATTCGTAATTTTATACATGACGATTGATTAATTTTGATTACTGACTTGCCGATTACTTTAGTCAAAGAAGAAAATTAATCGACCAACGTTGATGCCGGTCACAAGAATGTTCAAGGCGCGTCATTATACACGCGATTGTTCTGTCAAATTAAAGGTAACAATGATTTTTCTCTCTTGTCTGTTCCAGAAATTACCGTCTTTCTTTAATACCAAGCCGACGCGCGGAGTGGATAAAACGGACAACAACAATGCCAACAATTCCAACACGAGTAACAACATTCACAATATGCCGCTGCACAACGAGCCCCTCAGCGCTACTTCTCACGAAGTATACGGTATGGGAAACACTGTGATTATACCGGCGATGAAAATAGCGATGCCCTTATACGGGCGGGCCTCGAGGTGGAAAGCGCTGCTTGGCGTTATCATTTAATACGCTGAAAAAAGATTTTGTCGACACTTTGATACAAGCAAAATTTTCGGAAGAAAATTTTATTAAAATAGGATCAACCAAATGTTTAGTAACTGCAACGAAAAAATTTAATTGCCGCTATGTGTTGCTTTCTCAATGATACATGTACTCGACACAAGTAAAAACATGATAATGCCAACCGAATTGTACATACACTGTAAAAACTGATGTGTTAAATTTAACACATTTCATGTGTCCCAAATCAATTTAACACAAAACAAATGTGTTAAAAAGTAACACGCATAATATGGAAAAAATTAACACAAGAATTTAACACTTGAATACCGTTAGGAATCATAGGTTGTGTTAAATTGATATATTTAATATATCAGACATAGATTATATCAATTTAACATTTTCATTTCATCAAAACCATAGATTAATTCACTCAAATGTTAAAGTAACGTTTTATTTTCGTTAATTTAACATTATACATATGTCAATTTAACACAAACTGTGATTCCTGACGGTATTCAAGTGTTAAATTCTTGTGTTAATTTTTTATATATTATACGTGTTACTTTTTACCACATTTGTTTTGTGTAAAATTTACACACAAATGAGAGTGGATGATTTGGGACACATTAAATGTTAAATTTAACACATCAGTTTTTACAATATATCAAATATATTCCAAATATAAAAATAATTTAATAGTTCTAAGTATAAAAATAATTTTTTCATTCGAACAAACACGTATTTAAAACGCCGCGAATACGCGCGTTCGAAAAAGGAATGAAGTCGCGGCTATGCGAGATGGGACTAGGGATGAGCCATGTTGATTGATTAATGGAAATAACCGATAATCTTTTTGTAATCATTGTTTTTAGTCAATTATATTTTTGTCATGAACGTAGGAATATCTGGATAGAGCATATTTTCACGGGATTGAAGCTTAAAGGGATTATGACGGATATAATCAACTAAGATGGTGGGGACATGGAATTGTTTCCATTGTAATTGTGTATTATTTTCTCATTTTGCGGTTTTTCTGCTTTTACAACCTTTTGCGTAACAATCAAAGGCACATTGCAGAGGAAGATGGAACACTTTACTGCAAACATTATTTTTGTTTGCAAAATACGTAATCTCGAAGGGCAGCGAGCGTTAAAATCGCGCCGCGTGACGTGGAGATGTAATCAAGTCTACATATATCGTGTGTTATATATATGTTAATTTTGACCGATTAAAACGGAAATTTGTCTTCATCCCTGAAGCTTCACATATTGCATCTCTGGAAGTATCTTATGCTCAGTTCAGATATTCAATTTTTTCTTTCAACATCGGTAAACTAATTTTGCTGTTTTTCCATGAACGATATTCATAGTCTGATTTTATATTCAAGATCGTTTTTATTTTATCTTCATATGGTATGTAATCAATATAAAACAATCCACACAGCATCTTAACATAAACTCAAAAAGATCTGAAATATAAGGTCTGACTATGAATATCATTAGGCCTGTTCTGTAATTGTTAACGACAGTTTCGTCATCTTTAAACTATCGTTGCGCAGGCATAATATATAGTAGCAAAAATGCGCAACGACACGTTATGCTAGTAACATTGTCATTTAGAAGTTACAGAATAGACTTACAGAGTAGGCCCATTCTCTAACTTTTAACGAGTGTCGTTGTCATTATGCAAGTATAATATTATAGCAGAGAAAATGCGCAACAACACAGAATTTATATATGTGAAAAATATTTCAAATTTTAAACAAAAATGATTTTTTTCTCAGCAAAGTAAAGCGCGGTTCATAAAAAATCCGATTTTTGTTTTAGTAAATAAATAAATGTCGATGTCTGTTCGACTTTTTTTTCATTTCATCATCGATTGATGATTTTCTCAAACAACGCCCATCTTTATAGACGAGTTTACGCGCAATACACCGGACTTACAACACGCGCGTGAGAAATATTGCTCGAATCCCTCGGCGTAGAGAACGGTTCTCTCGCGCTCCACAAACGATCTCTACGACGAAACCAACCGAGAATTAGACGCTCTCCCGCCTCGATCGCCTGAATCGATGGGTCGTAGAAGTCGATCGTAATATCAATGCCGCGATCCCGCTGATGCGTCTCGGACTCGCGAAAGAAAGAAAGATCCCAGCGAGCGGGATAATTCGCGAGAGCCGACTGCGTCGGCGGAGACTTGCGTAACAGCGAGCGTTGTATGCTCGCGACCGTGCATCGACTTAACTCTCTCACACACACATGTGTTATTTTGCGAAAAAATAAAACAGCTAGGAGACTGCCAATGACACCCCAGGAAGCGGTGAAATACTACGGCTCCAGGCTGACGGAATTCGAGCGCGCCGAGATCGAGAAGTACTCGGAGATCTGGTACCTGGGCCTGACGGCCCACAAGATCCACGGCGAGGAGGTGTCCTCCCAGAACGGCGGTTACGACGACGAAAATGGCAGTTACAACAAGGTCCTGCACGATCATATCTCCTACAGGTGAGCCGTCATTGTGTTCGCGCCTTTCTCCCATCGGCTCTCTCGGTTGCACTCTTCTCCTTTCTTAATTGTAATCGTCGATCGTGTTATCGTCGGCGTTGTTTAGTTTCGCGACGGATTGGCCGCTCGCGAACGAATCCCTCGTGATCACGCACTTGCTCGCATTCCGAGCGAACGAGTGCGCTTGTTGTCGTCGTCTCCCGCGAGAGCGGGAGAAATTACGACGGAAAAGTGCGTAGTAGCGTGGCCTGAACGCAATACCCGTAAAGCGCGCGGAACAGGAAATAAAAGTCCCGATATTTTCTCTTCACGCAATTGCCGTAGCAATAGTCGTCCGTGCGTCGAACGCAACTCGCGCATCGCGAACGCGCTCTCTTTTGCGCGTCTTTCTTGCGGTATTAGGTACTAGTCGAGGAAAATCCTTTTTTACTGAAATAATCGGCAAGCCAGATTAGTCAAGATTGATAAATCGTCATATATGTAATTACGAATAATTTAATCAGTGGTGAAATTAATTATTAATCAGCGTGTCAAGGTTCGTAATTAATTTCATCGATCGATAATATCATTTGCGATTTATGTTTGTGATGTTGTATTTGTGATTTTGTGAAATTATTATGTGACGATTGATTAAAAATTCCAAATAACAAGGGTCTAAAAGAGCGAGTGCTTGGAGAACGTGCGCAAAAAACAAGTATATAATTTATTTTACTATTTACTATTTCACTATTTATTAATCATGTATTGATAATTATAATTTGCATTGATAAGAATCCAATGGATTCTTACGTTTGCGATTAATACTGCGATCAATACATGATTGTATACTGAGAAAAATTATTTGATAAACAATTAACAAACGGGTATTTTCGGTTAAAATACCGATGAATTTTTGTATTTGATCAGGAAACATTCGATGAGAAATATCGGTTCATAATTTTTTGATCGGTTTATCTGAATAAATGCCATTACGATCGGAAGTATCCAATTAAATTTAATCGGATATCCTGATCGGATATAAAAATTGATCGAAATTTGACCGGAAATATCCGTTTGTTAATTTTTTATCGGATAATTTTTCTCAGTGTAAAATAAATTATATATTTGTTTTTTCGTGCGCGTCCTAGCGCCCGCTTTTATAAACCCTTGCTACTTCGAATTTTTAGATTATATATCAAAGAGCCTTATGTTTTTATTGACGATTGATTAATTTATTAATTTATTATTGATTATTTTAGTAAAAGGAATTTTTCATTTCACGACTCGTGCTCAACGTTGCTCTCTTTTTACTCCCGTCGTTATTTTGAATATGCGATATTCTTCTCACGAAGTGCCCTTGGATTGCGTTTGTAAACGCGCTGGTAACGTTTTCTATGCTCAGATACGAGATACTGGAGGTGATCGGCAAGGGAAGTTTCGGCCAGGTGATTCGAGCGCTGGATCACAAAACGGGACAGCACATCGCTATCAAGATCATCAGGTACGCGGAAACGGTGCGGTCATCGTCGCGCGATGATGACTCACTGCCGACCGCTATGATCTGAGAAAAAGAGAAACCCGCGATGATGCGACACGGATAGTAGTAGCACATCCGGTATCGGGTTTTTTTTCCCTTCCGGACTTGCATTCCGCGAGTCCGCGGCGTTTCTTCGTTTTAAACAGCGCAACTTTCACTGTCCTTGCAGGAACAAGAAGAGATTTCATCACCAGGCACTGATCGAAGTTAGAATCTTGGAACACCTCAGGAAGAAGGACTTAGAAGCGAACTCGTCGCACAATGTGATACACATGCTAGAGTATTTTTACTTCAGGAATCACCTGTGCATCAGCTTCGAGTTAATGAGGTGAGCGATCGGCCGAGATAATGAGCTTCTCGCGTCCTCGCCGCGCGAGACGCGCGTGCGAGAGTTCGTTAGCCGCATAATGAATAAAAAAGAAACGCCGTCTGGGCGCGCCGCTTTCTGTTGCAGCTTGAATCTGTACGAGCTAATCAAAAAGAACAACTACCAGGGATTCAGTCTGAGCCTAATCCGCCGTTTCGCTAACTCGTTAATTAGCTGCCTGAAACTGCTCTATCGAGAGAACATCATCCACTGTGACTTGAAACCGGTGAGTGCACCGCGGATATGCAGCTGGATTTGCATTGTCCGGAGAGAAATGTACCGAAATTTAAAAAGTGGAACAATTTCCTGAAAAATTCATTTGCTCTTGCTGTACTCAAATGACAGTTAGATATGACCGGTTGCACAACAAAACAGTATTTCGGTAAAGTTGTCTCAGTTTTCAAGTTTCGACTTCTGCACAATGCACGTCCATCCAAATAGGCGCGCTCTAATTGAAATTCATTCGCGTCGATTTCTTCAACGTTTACTTTGTTCTCATATACATTTGCCCGCTACTATTGCAGGAGAACGTGCTGCTGAAGCAACGGGGAAGCAGCTCGATCAAAGTCATAGACTTCGGCTCGTCGTGTTACAGTCACCAGCGTGTGTACACATATATACAGTCCAGGTTCTACAGGAGTCCAGAAGTGATTCTCGGTCTTCCTTACGGCACGCCGATCGATATGTGGAGCTTAGGCTGCATTTTAGCCGAGTTATACACGGGATATCCGCTGTTTCCGGGCGAGGACGAGATAGAACAGCTCGCCTGCATCATGGAGGTCCTTGGCCTGCCGCCTGAGCACATTATCAGTCACGCGTCTCGTCGCAGGCTCTTTTTTGGTAAACTAATCGCGATATATCAGTAGCGCGCGTATCAGAGACTTCGGAGTCTGAAGTCGCTCTAAAGATAGAGAAAGCTGCTCAAACTAAACGTCTCCAAAATCATTGCAGATCAGAAAGGCAGTCCGCGATGCGTAACAAATAGTAAAGGCAAGAAAAGGTGGGCGGGCAGCAGAAACCTCTCAATAGCCCTTCGGTGCTCCGACATGCTATTTGTAAACTTTGTTAGCAGATGCCTCGAGTAAGTTATTTTTACCTCACGTGACATTTTCCACGTTCCGCGTAACTGCGTGGGATTCCTATACTGCAATCAATTTTAACATCACGACCTCGGAAGCGTAGTAACGTTCTCGTTTCACAAACTGCCATGTACATATCGTCATAAAATTCTTTGGCACGAATTTATCGTCTTTACGAATATTATCGAACTGTAATAAGTACTCTCGAATTTATCCTTGAAAAATTGGTTTAAAAATCCGGAAGTATTGGCAATTTGTGTGATGAATAATTCCGGAGAATCCATTGGAAGCTCCAAAATTTTGATTAAAAACATTTTTAGGTTAGTAAGAACTGAGTTCAGACGTTGAAGCGAGTATATATTTTTAGAATACATTATAGAATTGTTTGTTTGAGGTGTCGACAAAAGCTTAGCGCGTTCTGTTTCGACCTAAATAAGACTTATAAACATTGTGTTGCAAAGAGTTTTGTCGAGGTTTTAGTCACCAAATTGATACGGCATCCCATCTAGCAAACGGAGAGGATTCAAGTTCTGACTGAGACAGTATTTTTATTCAACTTTTTTAATTGAATTATTTTTTTAATTGAATAAAAACTAATGTTTTATCATAGGGTAATGAGAAGGGTAATTGATATTAAAAATTGGGTCGGTTTGACGTGGAAGGGATTTGATTCGTCACGTACGTTATAAATACTGGAAAATCTATCCGTCACGCGCGTTAATACTATCAAGCTTTATTATCCTCTCAGCATTTAGTAAAAATATTCGCTCCAACATCTGAGCTCAGCTCTTACTGACCTAAGTATGTTCGATTGAAGTTGTATACTTCGAGGAGCTTTTGTATAGAATGGTTTCCAAGATTTTGCTTATTGCACCGAACCACAATATCCAAACGAATTTTGCCTAAATGGCTTTCGTTACCGCCAGGTGGGATCCAAAGAAGCGTATGACCCCCGACGAGGCGATGCGTCACGAGTGGCTGAACTCGTCGTCCTCCCACGTGAGCTCCTCCTCGTCGGCGATAGCTTCGTCGACAGTGAACGCGAGCGCGAACACGACGACGAGCAGCGTCGAGACGTCGCAGTCAGCGCACGCGCAGACGGTTAGCGTGACAGTGAGCGCGCCACGGCAGCGCGCCACGACGATGGAGGACCCGCCGTACACCATGTACCGATTATACAAGGGCCGCAAGTACGTCCAGAAGATCTCCACGACGTCGGGCGACAACACCGACAACGGCGGCGGCGGCCTCGTGGTGAAGAGCAAACTGAACGGCAGCGCGAGCAGTCACGCGCTAGCGAGCAGCACGCAAACAGCGACGTCGAGGCACGCATCAACCGGCGACATCGTCGCGAGCCTCGATCCGAATCTCGACGACTCAGGCACGTTTCTGCCGCCGATATTGTGAAGTCGGGTTTGCGCCAGCCACTTCTAAACGCACTCTCACCTCGTGCCGCACTCCCGTCGCGCGATCGGACTCGCCTCTTGCGCCTCGTTCTCGTATCTTCTTCGAGATATGGCCGCAAGGGTCGCGACGCGACTCGCAATACGTGGTCGCTCAAAAGAGAGGTGTTCCGGCACGTGACGGTCTCAATTGAATCGAGTACACGCTGATTGACCATCTCGCGGTCGCGAAACTGCGGACACGTAATTAATACGTGTGTCGCGGGCGAGTGCAGTTGAACAGATCGGCGCGTATAGAACTGGCTGGCCAGCCTGACGACGTTTACTGTTCCCGATGCCAAACGACTGGACAGACATAAACCGAGAGAGAGAGAGAGAGAGAGAGAGAGAGAGAGAGAAAGAGAGAGAGAGAGAGGGAGTCGCTAGTCTCGGGCACATGCATCTAGCTATGAGGCCAAAACGATTTGACGACGGTGAGAAGAGCGCGGCGGGCGTGTCAAACAAACAGGAGCAATACGCGGCGATTGCGAGGTCGAATTCGTGCGCTCTCGGGAATTCTGGCGATTGTCACTCAGGTAATCGTAACGAAACGCGCATTATAGTTACTCGCGGACAATGTTTAAGTATTGCCGCCCACAGCGAGGGTCATTAGTGAAATCGTTCAATGTATACCGATCACTTTTCACGGACCATCGTATATTTATCTGGTTCGGCTGTTTCGCACGTTAAGCGCGTGATATTCACGCTAATGGAATCTCAGTCGTAAATGTACTAAAATTATAATTGGAAGTTCGTACGATAACATGTTATTTCGCACTAAAGGAGACCGTCGACGGGCCGCTAAGCGATGACTAACATGTCGTTGCAGGTCACATCAGTCAACAACGGCTGAACATTCACGCGTGCGAGTGTGCACTCGGTTACTAAACGGTGGCCACACATTTCTCCGAATGAAGTTTCAGCGCTCCTGGTTGTCATGGATCATAAAACACGTTCGCGCTATAATCAGTGATGGCAGGAGTTCAAATGACAGTACAGGGTGTGAAAATAAATTTGATCAACATAACATTCAAATATTGTTGTCTTCCCGTAGTTTAAATTACGAGCTTGTGGACTTTAAGGCTCTGCTATCTCGCCGCAGAAAGTCTTAATTGACGGTGACACCTAGCAGTGTCGAGAACACGAAATAACTGTGTCAGCGTAACTGATTGGCTGACACTAGGCCAGGCTCATGCCAGGCCTCGCTTGACACCTCGGAAAGTTTATTGCGTTTTATTGCGTTATTTTTCAGTTTCTATGTGAAGTGTATATATTATCGTGATCCTCACAACCGTAAAATGTGCAGCAAACACTGTGATACTGATGATACATTGCGAAAATCGAGAAATTCAATGTGTTTATACATGCTGATATCTCAGCTGTCACAAACCATCGTGACAACCGAAAAATGTAACATTATTTCAGGAATTATTTTACGATGCTACGTGATATATCAGCCAGAAATCTGAGTTTACTGTATTTTTTACAGGTTTCAGGATTAGGAAAATATTTGGTTCTTCAGGAAAAAGTAAAAAATAAAGCAATAAGACGCAAGAAACTTTCGGTATGTCATTTCTCGTTTCTGACGTCATCCAATATAGCCGCCCGAGAAATAGCAAAGCCTTAAAGGTTTAGATATATCCCTTCATTGATTAATTATAACGCGAACGCGTCAGCAGTATCCCTCAATTGTGACCATCAGGAGAGCGCTGCAACTTCATTCGGGAAAGTGTAGTAACGTTCTCGTTAAAGGGTACACTCGGTTACTAAACGGTGAGTACACATTTTTCTGAAGGAAGTTGCAGCGCTCCCGATTATTATAATTGAGAGACAATAGCTGTGTTCAGCAGAGAAAGCTACTTTGCAACAGTTGTAAAATTCGTGAACCTGATTGGTGCATGCCTTTAATCCTGGCTGGATCTAAATCTCTATTGAAAACAGCCGTTACGCGTTTGCGCTATGATCGATCATGATAGGAAGCGAAATGACAATGTGTGAGAGACCCCCGACGTCACAACAAGATGAAAATTCAGGAAAAATGTAAATATCTAGCACATTATTATCTGTCAAATAAGAATGTAATAAATAAATCAGTGCTTATCGTGAATTATCACTTCGGCTCCTGTCAAAGCCGGTATAACGCAAACGTGTCAGCAGTATCGTGAGTGCTGAAACTTCATTCTGAAAAATATGTGTAGCCATCGTTTAGTAGCCGAGTGTATGCTCGATCGCAAAGCGGTTTGAGCATATTTTCTTCAGTGAAATTGAGAACTCGTCAAATGGAAACAAACCACTGCTTACGGGCTTGCATGGTTATCGGTTACGATAGGAGCCGAGTTGGTATTCTTTGGTCGTGGAACTGGCTCCATTGACCGAGTCGTATTTTGTTTCCGAAATATATTCCGAGATAGGAGCCGAGATGGCAGAGCATTGATCCTTTATCTGACAGATAAAAATGTGATAAACATACTTGCGTTCTTCCTGAACCCTCCGCTGTGTGTGACTTCTCAAGTGTCACTTCAGCCTCTATCACACGGATTTTCACGCAAGCTCATGAGTATAGTGGCTCGCAAACGTGACCATTTGAGGCAGTTCTAACTTCGCCAAATGATAAACGTTATTCAAGCCGTGTAAGCCTTCGGAAAGTATACTATTAGACGGGCGTGTACTAGCATTATACACTATTTAAAACAATTGCGCGACGACGCTAGCCGATGAACGGTACAAGCGAGAAACAAAAGTCCGACGTGTCGTCAACGGTCAAACAACGATTCTCTCCCGACGTGTGTATGTATATGTGTGTGTGCGCGCGCGCATGTGTGTGTGTGTATGAGTATGTATGCGTGCATCGGGGGTTACCATCGAATTACGGTCGCGCCGAGAAAACCTGAGTCGTCGTCCGAGAGACCACCACCACCATTACTATTCAACAATACGCGACCAACCGCGGGGTCGCGACTAATAACGAAGCGTCAAGGCGAGTGGAGTAACATTAATACGAAGCGTGCCCCAGTTTTAACGAGGCCTGAGTAGTCTTATTGTGATATTAAACTACCACTGTCTTACTTAGATCTCTGATATTAAGAAGGTAACGATCGCTAATAATTTCAATTTACTATTAATCATTATTTTCTTATTATGTGTAACGCTATATCGCTACTATTATTATCGCGAGGAAATACGTAGCCGAATATAACGAGGTTATTCGTCGATAATTATAGAAAGGAAGGATAATTATAGGAAGGAGAGAGAGAGAGAGAGAGAGAGAGAGAGAGAGAGAGAGAAAGAGAAAGAGAGAGAAAGAATTAACATTATTATTACTATACACGTAGGTAATGTACAGATTTTGATTACGCGTCTTCTTTGAGATATCCAGGAGCGGCGTGCTATATATATATATATATATACACGCACACATGTATATGTATATATTTGCTTGCTACACACGAATACGTAGGTGAACGAGAAAGCGTTCCCCCTCCCTGACCCGCGGCTACTTTGCAAGTATAATTTCCTACACGTCGTTATAATATTACACATTGCCGTCATTTTACCGTGTCTCCGTTGTGTCAATCGTCCGCCGCGCGACGTAACGCGTGTCTCATTACGTCGGAATATTAACGGCGATTAACCATCGCCTTCCCCTCCCCCCGGAGACTCCCCGCCGCCGCAGCTTCGCTTTTATATCTACTTGCGCGTGAATTTGCTCGTAGCTGCCCGGGATTAATTAGCGCCCTTTCGGACAACACTCTTCGTCGAGCACACTACGCGACACACACATGCAAGAGGATTTGACTGAAAGAACAAACAAGAAAAAAAAAAAACAAAAACACATATGCAGAAAGGAAAAAAAGAGCAGAGGTGTAACTTGTATTAGCATTATTAATGTTAGGCTATTACTTTTAGACGTGGTAATTGTTCGATGTGCCCGTACCCATTCTAAAGTTTCGCGAGGAACGAACGCCCTCGCGCGACAGCTCGTAATTGTATCATTTGTGTAACGTTGGAAACGCGTGAGATGCGTCCACACACTCCCGTTTGCCGCTTCTCGAGCTTCCATCTCGGAACATCTTCCGTTTTTTTTCGCATGCTTCTTCTCTGATTAACGCTTCGCGAAAGTCCCATCGCGCGTAACACACGATACCGTGCACAGCCGTCTCTCATTGACTTGTTTTTACCGTGCGGTGTCTATTCATATTGTTTACGACCGAAGAGAAAAAATAAAAAAGAAAGAAAAGCGATCGGGTTGCCGCGGATACGTGGATATCGATAACTCGAGTCACGGTCACGTATAAAGACTGAAACGAATCGTTATTTTATATTTTTAATCAACACAGCATAAAAAATCGTTCCTAATAGCATGTTTTCGAATCCGTGTCGCTTTCTTCAATCTTTTTTTTTTCCATTCTTTATCTCTTTCCTTTTCTAAGCGGCATTGAGCAAGATATATTCCGCGAACGGCGATTTTTAAACGCACACCTGCGAATGTGTCTCTTGGCGTATATCTTATATATATAATTCTTATATATATATATTGTATACTAATACATTCACAGATATACTTACTACCTTTTACAGAAGATGTATTAATATACGCGATTTATATATCTCATATACGCTAAGTACGTTTGAATAGTGCGCGTATTGAAAATCGTTGCGTACAACGGTTTTGCCCAACCGTCGATTTTAGATCAATTTCTTATTTTATTTTTTTTGCCTAGCGAACTCGTTCAGTTCCTTCGTAATCAGATAAAAGCGTATATCGCTAGATTCGCGGTAAGTTTTCTTCGAACACACATCTCACGGAAAAAATGAATAATCGAGAAACGAATAAATCGACAATGGATTCGCTGTCGACACGAAGCCCATTTTAGCCCGGGAACTTTTAGGACAAAGTAATTATCGTACCAATTAGTAGTGGTATTCGCGCGACATGATCGATGAATGGCCAATAAACGAGCGGAGGTGTATTAATTGTTAAGAGAACTACGTATATAAATACATAATTCATAATGGCAAATCTGCCCGAACGACTGACGAAGTAGCGCATATTATTATTACATAATATACGTATCCACACGATTCTCACACAACTTTCTTCGCGGATTCGTAGTTTAGCCGCTGTTATCCGAGCGATCGCGATACGCAGCGACTATTATCACGAAATCTCGGGTGAAGCACTTCGTTCGATTACTTCAGGCGACAAGTTTGATGAGCGTAGTGTCTTAAGACGACGATTTCTAGCGAACAAGATATATCAAATTGTGTATAAAGATGACGACTGTGTGTGTGCGTGCGTGCGAGTATGTGTGCTTGCCTACTTGCTTACGATAAAGACGAGTCTCCTTTGAAGGAACAGTGAGTGTGAAAAAGAGAATGTATGTGTGAGTACATGTGTGTGTGTGTGTGTGTGTGTGTGTGTCTGTCATGTATGTGTGTATGACATACGATATATGCGCATATATCTATTATATATAAACATATACCATTACACATTAAGTGAAATCACGCAGAGACGCAAGAGAACGAGTTAAGTCTAGGATTCGTAGAGGATAATTAGACGAGCGTTGAGCGAAGAATAAGCGCGCGGGCGACTCCACTACCTATTGGTGGGCGAATTGGAGCCGTTCCCCAAACACGCCGTTCAATTGTACAGTTTCAAGTTTTTAGTTGTGTTCACTATTGTATACAGCGGGATCAAATTATATATGTGTATAGAACAGACGTTGTGTAATCTCTGCGTAACATGCATCATCATACACACACACATACACAACACATCGAGACGTGCATGTATGCATACATATACACACACACGACCGATCGATCGACACACCCGGCATTACATAAACCGCGTGTGTCTGCGTATACGCCCGAAGAAACACGAAAACATCGCGAGAAAGAACCAACCATCGGTTTCCCCAGTGTCGGTTGACGAGTCTAGAATTAACTCGATCGACCTTTCATGCCTCACTTTGACGAGGAAATGATAACCCGGTCGCTGCGCTGTGAACGTCGACCAATGTTGGCGAAACCGATCGGTTATGAATGAGGAAGGACGAAGGGAAGTTTCAGGAGACAAAACTTACATAATGTCAATACCATCCGAGCGAACAGCGAATCAAGGACGAGTTATGAAAACGATCCTTGTTCTTCAACTGAAAGTCACTCTCTCGACTTCGCACCTGCTGGTAAATTCATCGCGCGAGAGTGATCGTCGCCAGAATTACGCGCTGCGAGATTTTAGGATTTTTCAATTATTCTACGTAAGCCGGATATGGAAGGAAGAGAGAAAGGAAGAGAGATTGTCGCTTTTTCTAGTCCAGGATCTAATGAACGTGCGCGCCTCACTCGACCGCGGTGGAGGAGGAGGGAAGAACAAGAGAGAGAAAAAGAGACATGCGTACACACATACACAGAGAGAAAGAAAGAGGGAAATAGAATTCCCTTAATTGGCATTAAGCGGAGTGCTCCAGCGTGTATACTCGTTAGGTCAGTGTGTGTAACTAATTAACGACTCGACGACGCGATTAGACGCTATTCGAATTATTAAATTAGCATGACAACAACTATGCGCGCGTGTACACCAGGACGGCGGCGGTGTACCATTCGTGATTAGCCCTTTTCCTCTTCCTGCGACGGATAACACGTCCGATGAGTGAAAGAGACGGCCGATCCTCGTAGATCATCTCGGTAGGACAATCATATAGCGTTTACGCGTTTGTGTTTTACACGCGTTAGTAAGTTTTCATTAGATGATAGATGCGAGCGATCGTGACGAGGATTCACGTGCGATTCACGTCCGAGGAAGCTCGTCAATACGTAAAAAGATAAACCTCACTCGAAGGACGCGCGAGAGAGAGAAATCGCGACGAAGCACGCAAGGCCGTTTGGTGGATCGTAGGTGTCGGTCGTCGTTTCACGCAAGCGATCATGGGTTAACGTTAGAGGCACCACGTAAGAGTAGAGATATCATCTAGTACGCGAATTCACGCGAAACGACGATATCTGTAAACATACGAAGGGGAAAAGTGGTGTGATGAAGCGCGGAGGGGGGGGGGGGGAGGGA